CACCCTCCCCGCAGCCTCCCCTGGAGCCCACCATGCGCAGGGCAATGGGCACGGATGACTACTGTGCTGCAGTGTGCTGGGGCAGCAGAGGTGGCCCCTGCCCAGGGGGGTGCCAGGGAAGGCTGGGGGTGGAGGCAGCCCCTCGGCCCCGCTGCTCACCCAGTCCGAAGTGTGCCACGGGCTCCATCTCACAGAGGTACCCCGATCCGCCATCGATGATGCGCAGGTGGGCCCCGCTTCGCCGTGTGAACAGCACCACTTTGGCCCCCCGAGCAAAGGCCCCGAAGCGGGTGCGGGGGATGACACGCAGCCAGTTATTGCTGGTGCCCTGCAAGGGAGGAGGGAGCAGGGAGACTGAGCAAGGAGAGGCAGAAGGGACCGGGACAATGCAATGACCCCCTGCTTGACTCACCTGGGTGCCCTTGAAGATGGAGATTGGCTGTGCCATGGACTCACCATGGGACAGGATGAGGTCCAGCATCCCATCTCCATCAAAGTCTGTCACTGCACCTCCTGCAGGGACAGGATCAGGTCATGCCTGGGGCCCAGCCCCATGTCTCCCAGCACCATGTCCTGCTTCCAGCGTGGGCTCTCACAGGTGACAGCAGAACTCCCGGCAATGCTGGGGCAATAGGGAAGAAGGGGTGACCCCAGTGCAGGAGTAAGGGTCCCTGTATGGGTAGCACCCTGCAATCAGGTGGGTCCGCTCCCTAGGCAGTGGAGGGGACAGGCAGTACCTGGGGGCTGTGGGCCACAGGGGGCTGCCTGGCCCCCTCCCAAATGCAGAGGCTGGCTTTGAACAGTGGGTACCCAGGAAGGAGCCCACCAAGACTGAAGGCTTGGGGAACAACTGGAGACGGCACCGTTAGCTGGTGGAGGGAGAAAGCATGGGGCTGCTCCTAGGTGACAGGGGCTTCAGGATGCTGGTAGGGAGCAGGCGGGTGACTCAGCCAGCCATGCAGTGTCCCCAGGCACAGAGGGTGCCAGGCGGTGCTGTGGCACACCCCTGCCATGGGTGCCCACTGCTAGGGCTGGCAGCACCCACCCGTGCCCCGTCCCTCAGGTTCCAGCGCGTCCCCCGGATTCAGCTCTTCCACGATGGGGTCCGAGTGCTCCCTGCGGACAAGCCTGCGGAGAACAGACAGGGTGTTGGTGCTAGTCCTGGCAGTCCCGGGCACCTTCCCGGGAAGCGCCTGTCCCCTCCTGCAGCAGCACGGTGGAGACGTGACAGCCCTGGTGGAGGGGGGATGCGACTGACCCCTGCCTGTTAGCACCTCACATCCCCGCTCCATGCAGGGGTGACAGGGATGTCATGAGAGCCTGGCTCTTGTGGGTCTGAACTACAAGGCAGCAGCACCATCTCCAAACACTGCTGCATCTCTCTGGGACCAGAGACACCCTCCCCCCCCGCAGGGGCTCACTGCCATGCCCCTGACCTCCACCCACCCACGGGTGCTGGCAATGGGTGGACAACCAGCTCCCCCCGCCCCCCCTGCCAGG